GCATCTTACCCCTTTGGGGCGCCCCCCTCTCCGTCTCACGTTGCGGCCTCTACCACTCTTCCTACTCCAACTCCTATGTCAATCTCGCCATCTTCGAACCGGGCGCCACCTCCCGCGGCGCCCTCTGCCTCTCTCTCGGACAGTCCGCCGAGCACCTTGTCCATCTTTTCTGCATCGTCCCCCGCCATCAAATCATCCACGATTCCCTAATCTTCCGCTACTCCGACGCAGAACTGACGGATCACCTCATCGCATCCGCCGATTTATCCCGGCGGGGGATCGACGAGCCCTGGCGGAAGAAGATCAATGCCCTCATTCCACCTCAGGGGATCTACATCAAGCATATCCACACAGGGGAAGACGTCCTGGTTTCACGCCGCGTTATCGCGGTTTTCCTCCTTATGACCATGGCGGATTTCAGCGACCAGTTGTTTGGATTCCAGGATCGACTCTTTGAGAACGAAGATGGCCGGCTTGAGTTCAGCGGAAGCAATGTTTTCGGAGCTCTGTGGCCGGGGGATGGCAGACCCGGGTTATGGATGAGTTCTATTTCGCGAATGGGGGCAGTCTATAATCTCATTGTGAAGGAAGAAGACATCTATATGGAAGAGAAGAGAAGAGAGGGGAGAAGAGTGGAAGAAGAGGATGAGGACATTGACCTGGTGATTCCGCCGGTGTTCGAGAGCTGCACTAGGGTTTTGGACCCAATCGATCAGAAAACGGCGAGGGATCTGTACTGGGAGGCGGTGACCGGCGGCCGCGGAAGCGGGGATGGAGGGGAGAGGACGGAGAAGCTGTTGAGGGAGAGCTGCGAGAAGAATCCATTTGTTGGGGAGCCCCATGTGGTCTTAGCGCAGGTTTATTTGGGGATGGAGAGGTGGGAGGATGCGGAGGGGGAGGCAGAGAGGGGGCTGAGGTTGTTGTTGGAATGGGGGAGTGCATGGGATAAGAGGGTGGCATGGGAGGGCTGGGTGGCTTGGGTTAGGGTTTTGCTCATGAAGGCTAAGGAGAAGGATTGGCCCAAGAATCCTTTTGGGATTCTTAACCTTGGTTTGGTTAGGTGAAGGGTATTTCTATGAAGTAATATTATTAAGTACTAATAATATGTGTGTGAAGAGGTATATTTCAAATGATATAAATTGAATTTTGTTG